TTCCTTAAAATTTTAATATACGTAACTGAAATTATCCGAAACTAACGGATAATCCGAAATAATTTCATATCCGTCTCCAGTATAATAATCATTTCTATATCCGTATTCAATCCGTATCCGAAATTTTGTATCCGTACCATCCCTGGTTTAAATCTCTAATGTTACGATGTACACGTTTGCTTACCTCTTCGGCAGAATAAAACATGTAATACTATTAATGTAGCTTGCATTGATTCTACAAACACGGAACATGAATTAATAATCAAATTTTTTGTTCCAGTATCTCAAGCGGATGGCGATCTTGCATCCATGATGGATTTCCGATACTTTCGTTGCGTTATGAAGAGAGAGTGGAAGTGTCCAGACAGTGAGATTAATTTCTTCATGTATACGCCGTAAGTGGCTTGTATTAGAGGTATAAGTACGTTGATAGTTGTAGTTGTACGCAGAGGAATTATCTGTATACGATTAAACTAGCTGTATAGGCGCGGTTTTACCTGATACCTCTTCGATCAACAATAACAACTAGATAAAGGGTTAGGTACAAAATCAAGCTCCAGATCTGTCCGTGTGAATAATAATAGTAAAAAAATAACAAACAGAGAAAAATGTTTTATAATAGTTTTAAGTTCAACCTAATAACAACCATGGCACCTAATAATATAGTCATAAATCGTCAAAATATTATCTAATACTTACGACCATTCGTCACATAAGGCAAGAAAAGTATTTTCTTACTCTTGTCATGTAGAAATTAAAAGACATAAGTTATACAATATCTAGTTTGAATTCAACCTTAAGGTCGAACAAATAAAGATAATTTTTCCATTATTGTCTTGCGATTTATATCGTTTCGTTTTGTTTTGTTTTGCTTCTTCAAATTTCGAATTTCGCTATAGGAGGTATGTATGGAGTCGCGTTGGACACTAAAATAATTTTATAATATGAAAATTAAGATTTCGGGATCTTAGTATACATCACTAATTTTTATTAGCGGTACGTTTTTGTGTATGATATGTTTATTTACTTTATCATTAAAAGTCTAAGTCAAAATCATTTATTTCAGTTAGAACAGGAAGGCACTTTTGAACGTCAACAATATAAATTTAAAAGTGAAGCTATTTGCTCATTCCAAGGTGTAGATTCCTATGGAGAAGAACGAGCAAGAAACAATATAATTTTATTTTTCAATACAAATCGACTCCATGCATCCACTGTTCTGTTTAAACAAATGTTGGCGAGACTTGGCCAAGGAATCGCCAACACACGCACAAACATTGGTGGCGTTGGTTTATAATTGATAATTTTGTCTAATTTGATATTATTTAGTAGTATAAAAGCTTAAAATATAACTTATACTTTATGTACTTATCAAAAGTAAGACACTCCGACCGTTATACTGCTTTTTCGGTTGTTATATTTGCAACTTGCAATTACTCGTGAGACGTGAGTACATTGGCCGTGTTTGGAGCATACTAAACAAAATAAGAGCTCACTTCTCAAGTGAGCTCTTATTTGTCGAGACGATTTTCTTGCGCCGACCCGATATCTAGTTGTTATTGTTGATCGAAGTGATACCTACTCTACTCATTTCCACCGTAGCGTAATGTCTTATAGCCTTTTTCGATAAATCAATGGTGGAAGGAAAACAACTAAGGCGACGGATATAAGTAGTTATCATCATCACCAACAGTCTGTAAGGGCTCGTACACAAAACTGCGACGCGATGCGATGCGAATTCGAAACGAAAAAAATTGCGATGCCAATTGCTGCGTCGGGATTTCTTGCGACTAGGCGTCTCCCAGGGTGACCATTCCTTAGACGACCGTCAACCATACTATACGTATTTTAAATTGAAAACTAGGTCGTGACATGGAACGTAAAAAGACGTGTGCACTTCTGTTATTGCTTAGTAGATACAGGAAAAAGAAACAAAGAATATTTTGATGCGCGATGCGAATTCGCAAGTTCTTGCGATGCGTAGAGGGAGCTCGCACATTTTTGGGATGCGATGTCGCATTAGTTTTGTGTACAAGTCCTCAATGCCCATTGCTGAGCAAAGCCTCTTCTCACACGAAGAAGGTTTGAGCATAAATCACGCTTGCTCAATTCGGGTTGGTGATTACAAACTTATAATTATAATTTATAAGCCCAGGTTTTCTCACGGTGTTTTCCTTCACTGTTTGTCACTGGTATCTAGATAATCTTAGTAAGTAGTTATACCTACAGCTTATACCAGGGTTCTACTCAATACTTAGATAATTAATAAAATTAATTAAGTAGGTATTGTCCTTATCTTTTCATTTTATTACAATAATTTCTATCAACTATTTCAGAGAACATCCTCACAAACATTTCATAGATCCTCGATACCCGAAACTGCTTCGCGATTTCGGATGGAAGAAGACGAGAAAGAATGTCCTCATCATTCACGGCTTCAACGGCACGTACTCCAAAACACCAATGACTTTTATCAGAGATGGTAAGTTCAACATAATTGCTATCAAGTGTATTAACTTTGGCGTAGACACTATTACATTATGTTGTTGAGTTACCAGACCTTATAGCCAGAGCCAGACCAGACCTAATACCAGAGCTGACAGAGCATAATAGAGAGTGACTAGACTAATAGACTTCTATTGTTATTATGCAAAAAGTGAATAATATTAATTTGTTATAAACCTTTTTTTATATTTGACTAGCGACCCAGTTTCGCACGGGTGCAATATGCATGTATTATACATATTATAAACCTTCCTTAAGAATCACTCTATCTATTAAAAAAACCGCCATCAAAATCCGTTGCGTAGTTTTAAAGATCTAAGCCTACATAGGGACAGACAGACGGCGGACAGCGAATTTGTTTTATACTATGTAGCGATGGCCGACCTTTTGCCCCATATCACTCCTGGTGGTAAGCCATGATGCGGTCTACGATGGAGCACGTCTGTTCATTTTACTTTCTGTGAAACGGTACCTTTTATAGGCAGCAATTAATGCTTTTATTTATACATATTTAGGAAATCGGTTTAACTCGTCGAGTACCGGTTTTGTAGACACAATTATAGAACAATAGGTTGCGGTCACCGGTGACCGCTTGGTGTTTGACAGTTTAAACTATGTTTTCCTGTGACATTGATGGACATAGATGTCGTCAATACATTAGATATTTAATACAGAATATGCTCAATATGTCATGTACATAATTTGTTTTCATATGTTTCCAGCTTACCTGTCTCGCAAGGACTACAACGTGTTTATGGTGGACTGGTCGGTGCTGACACGGTTTCCTTGTTACCTTTCTGCACTGTCTAATATGAAGTAAGTACCTCAGTCATTATGAGAATTTCTTGCATTCTCCATCAGTATTTTAATAAAAAAGTCTATCTACTTAATTCGTTCGTCCTAGGGTAGGTATGATCCAAGTCACGTGATCATTGGCCGTACTTGCGGAAACTTGACCAATAGCTAGCTTATAATAGACCATAAGAAAGCTAGATTCGGAAGACCAAAAAGTGTGCTTGTGCAATTATAACATTCGTTGTTTTATTTCTTCGTTATAAGAATTTGTATTTATTATCCTATTAGCCTCATCACATTGTCCTATCTCCAGTAACATTATTTTTTTATGTATTTGATGGACCGACGTTACACCCCTATCTCGCCTGGTAGTAAGCGATGATACACTCTACGATGTACCTACACTTCATCAATCATTTGTACTTTTCACTATATAGTCTTTGAAAAGAGAATCATAGTCCATAAAAATATTGCTAATAATTTCAGGAAGACAGCTCAGTGTACAGCTCAGCTATACTCAGCAATCACGCAAGCTGGAGGTCTAGCGAAGATGACCACCTGTGTGGGCCACTCTTTGGGTGCTCATATCTGCGGCATGATCTCTAACCATCTCACTGAGAAACAGTACAAAATTGTTGGTAAGTTCTTTCATTATAACCTACTCCTTTTTTAAAGGGATAACATCATCCAATGACTTCTCCCGCCTTGCGTGAAGCGAGAGGGAGTGTCAGACTCTTACTGAATAAAGACCACTCCGTCTGTACTCTTGTTTCGCACCGGAACCTGAGTAACCTGTTAAGTCGACCGTGACTTCAGGATAAGCTACTCTCGGGGATTGTAATAAGCAGTGTAATGGCGTCAGGCCAATTACAATTTCTCATTAACATTCCTGCTCTTCACATGGGTGTTTGTAAATACCGACTAGGGAACTAGACATCTGACAAAGACCGGGCTGCAGTGCTCCCTGGTAATTTCGAACCTTTGGAACTGCGACCTCCAACTCCCTGTTTAGCATGGAGATTATTGAAAAGGTTTTATATTGAGGGAGCTCCTAGCCCATAGTCGATGACCATTAGTAAATATTATAAAAAGGTAGGATGTTGTCCCGTGGAATGCAAGACATTTGTTAATAGATTATTAAATGGTTTGCATGCATAGTTTTAACCATATGACAGATGACAGTACCTTTTCCTGTTGATACAAGAATTTAAAAGAAATGATTAAATCTTATGCTTGAACATTGATATGATAAATACTTTATATGTCCTGATAAAATGTTATAAATTAAAATTGGGTTTGTGTACTTACATTTAAATGTAATTTATAAAGCAATCGTCTTTGTTTGTCAGCGACATTTTTGTGACTGGACGTGTTGTGTGGATAGTGGATAGATAATCTTGGAAACACATAGATAATATATATTTATACATTTATTTTGTACGTGATTATACTGGTACAGTTTCATAATACAACTCATGTAAAACAGGTAACTAATTTGTCCCTAATGTATCTTGGACGTCGCGGAGAACCTAACGGGTTACCGGGGCTCCGGCTCGACGTGCAGAAGAAGGAACGGGGTGGTTTTTAGTCAGTAAGAGCCTGACACTCCCTCCCGCTTCACCCAGGCGTGAACAGTCATTTGATGATTTTCCCCCCTTAAAAAAATGTATCTTGGACGGCGTAAAAATAAAAATCCAGTATGTTGTTTATTGTAGTTATATTTTAGAATGCCGCAAATGCCTTAGTTTTTAATAATAAAAAGATATGGCCTTGTATGGCTTTATCTGAAGGCCATATAATAATACCTGTGCATTACCTATCTGTGCAAATACATGTAGGTATCATACGAAATCGCTGTTGCAAACATTTATGTTATTTACAATGGGGTCTACTGTATTTATGATGACCAGATGACGCTAGTATTGAACCTCGCGTTCTTCGTCCAATAGGGAATTAGCCAGTATCACACTATTTGACGTTTAATATTGGACAGCTGCAATGATTGGACAAAAAAACTCCTTTTTACGTTTGGGAAACAGCATTTACAGCAAAAAAATGTTAGCCCTCATTACAACATACCTAATAAATATTAAAAGTTCCTTTTTACTTTTAAACATAACGCCAATTTACCACTTACTAATCAATTTGTATCTAGTAGTACCTATTACTTAATAATTATAATAAAAAAAAAATATAGCAAAGAAATACGTTTACAGCTGTGGCTGTTTTGGCAACGCTAGCGTTACTGTTTTAGTTTCCAAATACTGGTTGATACCGTCTTCACCCCTGAAAGAAGAAAAAGTCGTTTTAATATTCTGCAGACATAACAGAGAGACAATTCAAAGTATACTGAAAAACATTTTTAATATAAAATAGCTAATTGTGAGAGCCAGCAATTGCTTACCACAAGGTGATCTGTCTGCTCATTTAACGGCTTAAATCATAAAAAATGCGATATAAATTTATTGGAGACGCTATTGCTTCCAATAAAGGGCCTACTGCCACACTGGGCAATAGGCTTCACAAAAAAATAGAAAAAAATTGTACGTACAGCTCTCTACCAAGACCGGAATCCTTAAAACCTCCGAATGGTGTTTGGCTAGGTGTGTGGTCGTACGTATTGACCCTGAAAAATGAAAAAATATCAATTCATTTCTACTTCTAATAGAAACTTTAGTTTCTATAAAACACACAGCACCTTATAGCCGAATATTACGCATATATTTTTTTAAATATTTAGTAGTACTTCCACTTCTTATACACTTTTCCACTTCTTATAAAATACTAGTTTCAGTCCCCTGACTGACCTGGCTTTTTTACCCCGGGGACCCACGCGAAGTCCCTGCTTCTTCGGTAAAAAAAATCTATGTGTCATTCCAGACTATAATACACGCAAATCCATCCAGTAGTTTTTTCCAAGATAAACATACATCCATACATCTTCATAAACTTTCGGATTTATAATGTCAGTAGGATTTTGAGTTCAACTCTTTGATCAAAATCATCAAATTATACAATATTAACTTACCAGATGGATCCAGCTCGAACTTGCTTCGCGAAGCTAAGTGCAATGGTGATATCATTGGTAATGACTCCAGCACCAAGTCCATAGTTAGTATCGTTTGCCCTATCTATCACTTCTTCAAACGTATCGAACTTCAAGATACTTTGCACTGGACCAAATATCTGAAAGAGAAAAACTTTATCACCGACAAAGCAACCTATTAAAATAATTCTACTTCTTTAACTTTTTCGTTTTGAGCAAGACTTGTTGATTCATTGAAAAGTTACTGGATGCTTTTAGTTCTTGAAAAACCATACAGATTATAGAGGTATAATTATTTGTCATATAATGCAATTTTGAAAAATTATCATAATCTTCTTCTGAGACTTGATGTCAAATATTTCCTCGTCTAATCGTGAACAATATCATTTCCATTTGACTTACCTCTTCTCTGGCAATCTTCATGTTATCAGTGACATCAGCAAACACAGTTGGCTTGATGTAGTAACCCTTGTCTCCTAACTTGTCACCTCCAGCTACGCACTTCGCTCCACCTTCCTTACCAGCAGTTATGTAACTCAGAACTTTGGTGTACATGTCTTGGTCGATCTGAAAATATCGAATGCCTTTCTGTATAATAATAGGTATCTTGCTTGCGTAGGCTGCGCGACATCGCCGCGACCGCGCACGCTGCTCATGAGGAAGAATCCCTCTGTGGTTCGAATCTAGTAGAGCTTTTCTCAGTATATTCACGTGAGTAACCCGCGACTTTAGTTAATTTAATATCTTGCTTATTTCAAATAACGTTGTTATTTTATGTGTGTCTTGGTAAACCATAATACAAATAGGTATATTATGTCATTTTTTTTTATCGTACTTCAAAAGGAGTGATTAATTTAATGTAGTTAAGTGCAAGAAAAGTTGAAAATGTCCAATTATAGAGGATAAATAAAGAATTAAGATCTTACAATTAGTGCCGAGCTTGAGAAACTTAGAATTAGTGCAGAAAGCGGATGAAGAATTATATTAATCGTAACTTAGTGACAGTTTATAGTCAATAGTATAATATACAACTTTCAAACCTGAGGTCCTTGTTGGACGTTCTCAAAAGGATTTCCAACGGATCTCTTGGAAGCGATCTCTGCGGCTTTCTTCACAAACTGGTCGTAGATCCCAGATTGTACGTAAGTCCTAGTGCCAGCGCAACAGCACTGTCCAGCGTTTGCGAATGCCGCTGCATGAGCTATCTGCGCTGCTTTTTCCACTAAATTGTTCAAAAATAGGTTTTATAAATTGCTTACAAGATATGTTATGAAAATAATTTTTATCATGTATGTATGTATTATCGTTGGCTGTGCCATCAAATTAGGTCTTTTAAGGCAAGACAAGGCTCAAAGTTTATTTATTTCGGAAATATCAAAGATCGATATTGCAGTGACACAAGGTCAATTTTAGCAAAATAATGAGAGCTCTCTCAATCTACTTTAATAATCTGGACAATATTATTTTTATAACTTCAAACATTTCAATTAGTGAAAAGGGAGGTATTAAGCGTTTTTATTAATATAGAAATTAATATTACCATCAGCATCGTTAAAAACCACAAGAGGACTCTTGCCACCTAATTCCAAAGTGATTCGCTTAAGATTAACTGCTGAAGCTGCTCCAAGAATAATGCGACCGACCTGAAAGTATTAAACGATTACCGCATTGTTCTATCCAAGCACTCTTTTATCCCTTGGGGCTTCCAGTGGAAACTAAAAATACTATTCATCATTTACACGTTTGCCTACCTCAGTGGATCCTGTGAAAGCAATCTTGTCGACGTCAGGGTGGTGTGTGAGCGCTGCTCCAGCTGTAGGTCCATACCCTGGCAGTACATTGACTACTCCTGGAGGGAAACCAGCTTCTTTGATCAGAGCTGCTACTGCTAAAGCTGTTAGTGGTGTCTGTTCTGCTGGTTTTAGGACTATTGTGCAGCCTGAAATGTAATGAATATATTTAAAGGAGTGCTTGAGATTAGGTATAAACTTTACTCAGACTGCCTCGTTGGCCGATTGCCGAAAGTGCGACTGCCGGGCCAGTACTACTGGATTCAGTAGTAGCACGGAGTCTGGTATTGTGCCCGGTATATGGCAGTAGGCTGACCCCTATTACATGGGACTCATAACATAAAGAGTGAAAAGTGGATGTTACATTGTACAGGGATATTAAGTGCCGCAATGTGCACTTATGCCTACTCCTTCGGGGACAAAAGGCGTGATATTATATTTAATCATTCATCAAGTTCATTAAGTGATGAGAGAGATAGTATGACGAGTTTCAAAATTTTTACTTTCGACATGTTCAGGTAAAATCATTATAGATATGAATATAATAGTCATCCTTGTCAAATCAAAAAACTGTAGCATTTAAAGTCTGTGGAGCAGATCACACAGACTGTAATAGCTCATCATTATTCATGCTTTTGTCTAATGATTTGTTAATAAATCGTTCTATAAACTAGGAAGGAAACCGCTATTCAATTAACAATAGAAAAGTCAAGAAGCATAATAGTATCACGTAATAAAATAATATATTATGTTCTGTTGACTGGCGCTAATTAAACACCATTTATCACAATAATAATAATAGAAGTAAATAAGTTAGACCTACCAGCAGCCAAGGCTGGTGCAATTTTCCATGATATCATTGGTATGGGGTAGTTCCATGGTATAATCTGGCCACAAACACCCACTGGTTCCTTCAAAGTAAAAGACATTACTTCACCGTCTGAAAAATAAAAAAAATATGTTTTAAAGGAATCTTGTAGTTATATTGCGTTTGGAAGCCGCAGTTTCTATGGTTTGTCAGTTGCGATAGAAGTTAATGTAGGAATGTATTTTTTAATTTGATCTAAGTAGGACGACATATCGACGCTATAAATGAAATACAAATTCGTATTTAGACAATTACAATCCTATTTATACTATTCAAATGTACGTATTTTGCTGTCTAAATCTAAATATACTAATAGGTATTGGTCTCGGTACTGATGATACAGATGTTTTATTGATTTCAAAATTATGTGGCTAGATAACCTTGCATCTCTAACATTATCTATGAGACACAAGTGAAAAGCAACGTAAGGTTTTTGTCTAACATTCAGCACACAATTATAATAATAATCACGCTCTAAAGAGTTAATGAAATCGTGACAATAGACGTCAATAAAATTATCTCACTGTCTAGTAGAGATAACGTAGAAACAATGATTGTAAATATTAACTTAGTAGATACTATAATAGATGAAAGATTATATGTAAAGAAAGTACCCAAGTATGACAAGTATGCACTTATGCTTTAGTAAAAATCTTGCAAGTGTCGTGTCTAAATAAAATAATTAAAGAAAACGAATGACGAAGTGTTATACGAATTACGATAGAATGACACCCAAAAATATTTTTAGGGAATAAATAAAGCCTTTGTTTGATACAACCTATTATATTAAGACTACCTCTAGAACATTATTATTATATTTGCTTTTTAGAGAAACATTGTTAACGCCATTACCTGCAGGTATAGTATTCCCCAAAATTTTGTCAGCTTTGCCGGCATAATATCTTAAAACAGTCGCTGCATAGTACACTTCATCTTCAGCGTCCTTCACTGGCTTTCCACAGTCCAAAGTTTCTAACTCTGCTAAATATCGGGCTTGGGATTCTATTAGTTCTGCCAACTTGAGCATGAGTAGACCTCGCCGGGAAGCGTCCATTAGGCGCCATGGTGAGTAGCGAGCGAATGCCTTCTTCGCTGCTGCTACCGCCAAATCTACGTCAGCCTATAAAATTAAATTGCTGTTTAATTATAGCTTCGATAAATCTATTTTCGGTGGTATATTAGCGTTGTGTTTGAATCTGGGTTGTTCTATCTACAGTAGCCAAAATAAGGAATGAGGATTGTCCAAAAAAATTAAGGTGTTGTTTTTATTTTGTATTCGTCTAAAATGAAGTATTTTTAACCGACTTCAAAAAAAGGAGGAGGTTTACAATTCGGGCGTATATATTATATGTTTTATTTTTAATTTGAGTATTTCTCCTGTACAGTCTAAAGTTAAATTCATAATCGACTTTAATACATTCTGCCCTTCTACGTCATCATAGGACTTATTTTGGATTTGATGTAAATATTTTCACTCACTTTGTCTGCCTCAGCCACTAGTGCGATAACGGTCTCATCTTGAGGGTTGATGGTGGGGAAGGTCTTTTTGCTGACAGCGTCCACCCACTCGTTGTTGATGAACAGCTTAACGGACAAGAAAATAAATAAATTAATAGGAGTTTCTATAGAATGTGTCAAAAAATCTGAACAAACAGTTTTTTTAACTAATCACCCCCTCAGTCAGCTAAAACAAAAAAATATATTTATGCCATAGGTAAATAAGTGCATATTACACATACATATCGTTATTTAGTAAAATTCTGAAAAATGTTGATTGTACATGCATATTATTTAATAAAAAAGTATCCATGATTCCATATTTTGACGAGAAGAATCATCTTCAGCAGAGTAATGTCAGTTCAATTACATAAAATTGTCCGCATCCTCCCGACAAGCAAGGAGTTCAATGGTATCGACGAAGGATATCTTTAGCCTTACTAGCTAGTTTCAAACAGGTTTGTTTGTAACAGGAATTGACGTTGAAGATGGTTGACATTATTTAAATGGTTTAATGCGCAAACTTCTCAAATAAAAGTATAAGTACATGACTGACACTCATTTTCACCAATCGTTCTTAATTCTGAAGGTAAGATAGGTAACACGCCATGGCTTTTTGGTGCTTTTTTTAATAAGTGATGCCTAAAATAAAGGGATTTTTAGATGCTCCCTCACACAAAGTAACTCTTATTTAAGAGATGGTTTAGGGATAGTGAAAATAACTATATGTCCTCTACATATTTGTTTATGACGTGTAGTTTGTCCTGAACTCTATATTTACCATCTTGATAATTTTGAGTGGGAACCGAATTTAATCGATCTATTTCTTTGACTCTATAGATATACTCAATGATGGTAGATATACTCTATAGATATACTCAATGGTCGATGCTCAAAGACTTTGAGCATATAGCGAGAGGTGTTTTAAATTTCGTATCAAAAATACTAGAAATACCAATTAACTTACTTTTATATACTTAACTTCAGCCATTTTCGTCGTGTTTTAATATCTCGTTTTATTTACTTTTTGATCTATCAACTTTGACTGACATTGATAGGTAAAATCAGAAATTGCCTTTTTAGAAAGCAAATGTTGCAATTATTATGTGTTATAAATGGTTATAAAGTACAATATCCGTAGAATTTCAGTTGAAAATGGGCTGAAGATTTTCAGTGGTTTTCATACATATCTTGAGTTTTTTGAGTTTATTATTGAATAAATTAGTATCCTTATATTTTACGATTTCATAATTAACTCGTCGAGTACCGGTTTTGTAGACACAATTATAGAACAATAGGTTGCGGTCATCGGTGACCGCTTGGTGTTTGACAGTTTAAACGACATAAACTCCAAGCGTGGCAATATATTAATAACAAGACCAGTTAAATGTGGATTTCAATCACATGAGTCATATCTTTGTTTATCCTTTGACAAATGGACAATAACAGACAATTTTGTCTATACCTCTAAATATTATTGTATATTACAATAGCACCAATAAAATATATTTTCCCTTTTTTTCTTAATTTATTCTCTTATTTCTATATGCGTGCAATTTGTGAACGCAATTTGTTATTAACAGGGGGCCGGCTGTCTTTTTAATACCTACGTATAAAAGTAATGTTCAGATTACTGACAAGAAAATAAGACGTAGGTACACACGGCTACACATCGAGCTTTACATAACCAGTATAAACTGAACGTTAAATGTGCGGAAAGATGATGTGACGCGACACCAGGATAAACAGGTTTTGTATAGATTGATGTGTGGTTGTGTGTACCTATCTATGTCGCGGAGAACCTAACGGGTAACTGGGGTCCGGCTCGACGTGCAGGAGAAGGAACGGGGTGGTTTTTAGTCAGTAAGAGTCTGACACTCCCTCCCGCCTGCATCCAGGCGGGAGCAGTCATTCGATGATTTTCCCCCCTTAAAAATAAGGTACCTATCTATAGTTAGATATTTTTGTTTTGTAATACATCATTAAAATCACCAGCCTACTATTGGACTATGGGTCTCCTCTTCACAACAGGGTTTGCCATAGCCCCCGGTAGGAGATAGTATTTTTAAAAGCTTCAGTTAAAACAGTGCTATTTTGCTATTTGCCGGTCTCTGTCGAATATATATAGTTACTTTGTCAGTTTACGATGCCCACGTTAATAGTAAACAAATATATTATTCTACTCTGCCATCAACATTTTGCTTGTTATAGGGACTCACTAATTTTAAATGTAATAACAATTTTTATCACTATGTTATTGTCGTCAAGACAACTTTGCTTTTACAGTGATAGCAACAGCTGGTATCAAAATACAGACAGATAACCCAATTATATATATTATTTACTTTGTTTTACCTTAATTTAATAACAAAATAAGTGTAGTGCCTATGTAGTGTAATTTAAAAGAGATTGATACAGAACCACATAATTTAACACAGACATTCTTGCGCTTTATTCACTACAAAAATAAAAATGAAAGCATTTGTAAATTCCAATGAAATTTAATGAATCTTTCACTTATTTATTCTTTACTACCCACAAAACTAATGTAAATGAATTTGCGACTTACCTTAGTATATTTAACGTCTACTTTCACCATTATTTATATTTAAAATTGGAGCAGATTAAAATCTACGGTTTCCACGTCTGAACCCAAAGCCGGCTTCGGGCAAACTGATGTAGTTGCCAGGATCTAAATTAGAAAACGACATGCAGCATGTTTAGAAAAAATATATTATGCATTTCGTGGCATGTTTGAGTTATTTTTTTTATTTGCTGGTAATGTTAAGACTGGGATACTTAATTATTAACTTATTTATTTGTAATGAAAGTGTTTAGTTTTTAACTACTAAAATGTATTAGTGCTTTGAGATAAATATAATAAATAGCTTTTGTCTTTTCATGATTAAAAATGTATACATAGCACGCCATTAATTTTAAAACAATAAAACTGAGCTATTCCATTTGTGCTTTATAAAGAGGAATTTTCTCTTATATAGCAACTCCGAATGGAATCCAAAACAGTTATAATCGCTTCAAAGTGAAGTAAACCATAAAGCTATTGGTTTTAGACACGAACTTGAATAACAATTGTATTTTTGATCAATATACTTCACATTCTATGATTATCTCGTTGGTCTCGACGACCGGATCTTGGGTTTGATTCTGGATTCAAGCATAATACCTATACTTATTGGGTTTGTGTGCCTTGTATTGTGTTTTCAACACTGTGTCATATATGTTGTATTTATTTCTACTGTCGCAGGCCTGCAGGAACAAATTCCATAAGGGATATGCAGTACCTATGTACCTTTCTTTTGCTATATTTTTCCCCCGTGTATTGTCTATGTTGTCTGTGTACTTAAACTGGTAAATAAATAAACATTGCTTCTAATTTGTTCCCAGGACTAGATCCAGGTAGACCATTAGTATCAGCGTATGGTTCTCGTCAATTCAGGCTGGGTAGAGATGATGCCTACGTGGTGCACGTAATGCATACTAATGCCGGTTTCCTTGGGGAAGACGGTCAAGTTGGCCATGCTGACTTCTGCGTCAATGGTGGAAGATTGCAGCCTGGTTGCAAGGGACATGCTATGCGTGAGTATTGTTTTTATTCACTTTTATCATGTCAACCTGTAACGAACTTTGTAGGTAATTAAATATAATGAAAAATCTCAATTAAATTTAATCGCAATTACATACATTAAAAATCTAATTAGTCCGTAAGTTAGGTAATGAAAAAATATCAGACACGTATTTTTTTTTACTTTGTCTTATAATAAAACAATACTTAGATAAAACGAATGAAAGTTTAGGAGTGGGGGAAAAACTTCATTTCTATGTATAAAATGTAATAGAAGTGACGTCACGCGGCATTTCGAAAGTATTCGTTTCTGTAAGAAAATAAAAAAAAAATACGTGTCTAATGATTTAAAATAATCTACCAAATGGATATTAAAGTAAAAATTAGGCTTCACTAGAGGACTGACTTACAGACTGACACATTTTTTTTTTTTCTTATTATTTAGTATTTAAATATTTTGTTTTGACGTTCAAAAGTGCCTTACTGGTCTAATTGAAATAAATGATTTTGACTTTGACTTTGACTTTGCATCTTCCCTATTGTTGTATTATTATGAAACTCGGTAGTTACATGTAAATTGGGTGACCATTCAATAAAATGGTATCGTCAAGTTGATCCTGATGATAGAATTGGATATTAACTGACGTCTGATGGAATTCGTGGACTGTCTGTTTGTAAATATATCGAGTTTCGGCTCAATGGTTAGATCCGTATTTCCTGATGTCGAGGATGTATGATTAAAAGCATATTTATGGTTTTTAAACTAAGTAAGATCATTGAGTTACAAGTGTATGACTAATTCCTCTCTAAATCCTCAGGTATAGCCCGTTGCAGTCACTTCATGGCATCCTGTTACTTTGCCGCGAGTGTGAGAAAAAGAAGACGCCTGGTCGGTATACCATGTGACAGTACGTGTCCTAAGGAACGAGGACATTGGGGCATCAAATTCGATAGGAAAGCTGTGGTGCTTGGTGAAGAAGTTCCTGATATGTAAGTCGAGTATATTTTACAGTTAAACTATTTTAATTTCTTGAAATGAGGGTTATATAATTATAGTTGTTGCTCCCCAGATTGCACTAATGTAGCGTGAAATCCTATTTGTCAAAAGTAGAATTTTCATTAGAAAATTCACTGTCCACTGTCAAAATTATTCGTCAAAAACTGTCTAATAATTTGGCTAATGTCAAATTTGGCTAATGCCAAATTTCAGAGAGCTAAAGCAATTGGACTAATAGGACTTTACACT